TGTACATGCGTGAATACGTGTGTGCGTGTGCGTGCGTATCCTACTAGAAGTGCTCCTGGTTACCATGGGCCATGTAATTATCTCCGTCGTTTCCCATTGTTATGCGCGGATGCGTTTGCTCTACCCACCCCAATTTACGCGCGCGCGGTGTGTCCGTTTCACTGAATTTTAAAGGAGCTCCTTACGACTTCGTCAAGACCGTTGGCGCGCGGGTTCCCGAAATAATTATCTACTCTTTCCGTCGTTTCGAACCGCGCGAGTTCATTTTCTCGGTCAAATCAAATGTGTTACGTCCGTGTCGATAATATTACGTATCGCAAATCTCTCGCGCACTCGATTTCCTACAGCATAAGATAATGTAAGACAAATCATTTTACCAATGTCTCCCGAACACGCGTTTACGTTGATCACGAAGCGTGCGCGTTTTTTATTTTATTTTTTTGTTTTTGAAATCGTTACGATCGCTCACCACGCGTACGAAAATAATAATATTGACACATGCACGAGGTTCTAATCGCGAGAGAACGCCGTAAACCGTATAATGAACATATGCGCGTTCGATTCCGTTCCGTTTCCCATTATATTTTGCTTTTAAAAGGTTTTATTTCATTTTCTGTTGTTGTTTTTCTTTAACGCGCCGACATCTTGTAGTGTTCGCGAACGCAACCCAAACTTGACACGCGTCTATAGAATATTATTGGAAAACAATAACAATAACACGATCGTCGTGTTTACAGCTGCACGTGATCGACGGCATACGAAAACCAGTCGTGGATCGAGACGGACGGAAACGACGGACGGTTTGGGCGTTTTGTATTATTGCATTATCGTCAGACGATCTGGAAACGCATAGCATATCGCGTATCGCGGTCGGATGCTATTGAAAACGTATAAAAAAATAAAAATAAAAACGTCATACGCGTTAACAGCGTAGGACTAGGAGAAGAAGTTTTCGGTTACGCACGTCAGTACTTTTCCGCTGCACCGGTGCCGGCGGCGCTGGTGCTTGATATTGTGCGCGCATAATAGACGGCCCGAGTACACAATACGTGCTACGCGGTATTATAACGTAACAATACTACCATAACCGCGGTAACGTTAAGAACAACTCTATTACGCGAGGTTCACGTGCCGCGTAAAATATTTGTGATCGATGAGCGAAATCGCGTTTAGGTACACCATATAGTGGTAATTATTGGTAAACGTAATGCGGAACTTTTCGCGCGACGTTACCGCAGTAACCACGCGCGCTACCGCGAAGTCGATTAATCGCGATTAGTAATTACTGATTACGAACGTGCGGTTACTATACTAATTTAATTATATTTTCGATAAATTAATCGCTTCGACGACGGTTTTAATATTTCGTGTTTCTTTGAAGTTTACGAAGTGTCCATCATCGGGTTTGACGGAACAACCAAGATTGATAAAATGTATTAAACAGCCAACGAGCGTTATTCGGATAAACGGTTTTAACGCATTCTACAACGAAAATGTTTGTCACGAGCGAAAAACACATTTGGGGTATGTATAGCGCTTTTAAAAAAGTACGGTGCATTGCGAACCCGGGCTTTGCGCCCTGTAGTCGATCGGCCTTTACGTGTGTGGGGGGTCGGTCGACAGATAAACGCACACGATTAATTTAGCATGTAAACTATTACGTACTCCGCGCAAGTGCCGTTTGTTATTGAACAATTTAACGCAAAACAACGTTGACTACGACGTTCGTTTTGTTCGCATTTCGAGTACGAATTTACCGTAGGTACGCGCTGATACTGTTACTCGGCTACACGCAGACGGTTTTCGCGGCGACGTTCCGCCGAAACCGCACGGTGCGTACACGAACATAATAAATACGAACGCGCGCGGGCGTGTACCCGCGCGCCCGTGCCGAATTCGTCGAGATTTTGTTTTTTTGGGTTAAACGTAAAGAAAAACAAATAATATTATATTTTATCGTTGTCCGACTGTTCTTTTTTTTTTTGTTTCGTGGCAAGCTTCGCCGCCGGGGAGAGAGTCCGTCCGTCTGTTTTGTCTCGGCCGCGGATTATGGCGTGCTCTCGACACACGAAATCGGAGCTCGCTGTCGCACACTGCACGAGTGTTTACATTACGACCGTCTATTATTATTATCATTACTGTTCGACTTTACAATTTACAAGTGCTTTTCACCACTGCGGGCTGTGTATGCATACACATACATACAGACAAGCAGACAGATTTCACGCCGGTGACTAACGGATTTGTTTGGAACGCGTTATGATTATGCCCGTGTACTTTTGTCTCTTTGATGATAAATTATCCATCGAGACACGTAATTTATTATTACGCGGATTACACCAGAGTCCAGTACACAAATGCGATGGCATTCGTATGGTTATTATAATGTACACATGTATACGACGGGGCACGATGACGACGTGTGAACGTTGCAATAAACCGATTTCGTGCGATCACGTACCGCCGGGGTATCCCAAACCAACAATAATGTTGAAAATTGCGTTAACATTGGATAATACAGGTATATTACTGAAATATTATCGGAACGGCATGTTAGGAAACCGACGTCGTGAGATCACAGTATTACCTGTTGCGCATTGCGTTCGCATTCGGACGACATTCGCAACGTACGCGTCATTTCTACTTCTCGCGGCGTACTCTTATCACACGTAGCAGCTAGTTTTTTAATAATAATATAGTGTTGAAGCTCATCTGACGTAAAAAAATTTAATAACATTTGAAATCCGGTCGGCTCCTTCTTCATTCGACGGCCCGAAGAGAAACAGAAATATAGAGACAGAGAAACCCAACGGATAAAAATATCAAGACAGAAGCACCATGACGAGGGAACAGCTGGAGCAGTGGAGTGATGGTGTAGTGAGGAGAGATACCCTTCACCATACGATAATCGATACGAAAATAATATGCGCGTTCGTCTTGAATATAATATTTATCGGTTGTTTTTTTTGTTTACGTTTTCTCGGCGCTCGATTTTACCTGAGTGCACCCGAAATCGGGTACGACCCCACACGTCGCTGGAAACACACATGTGTAGTCTCGGCGGCGGGAAGACTTGTGTTCGACGCAAAAATCCACCACCGTTTCCGCCACACAATCGTAATTTACACGGCTAATTGTAGTGATGATAAAAGTGGGTAGGGTTTTTTCTGTTTTTCAATCAAACTGTTTTTTTTTTACGAGTACGATTTACGAGCATTCAAACTCCGGATTGAATTCTCGTCTCCGAAAGGAACCATGCGACGTTGTGTTGATTCTAATCGGACGACTTAGACGAGTTTGTTGTTGCATAAACCGTATATTCATGTGTATTGTAGCGAGCTCTAGTACTCTCTAAATAAATGAAAACTTGGTTCTTACCGCAGTAAAAATGCAATCATATACACGAATCGGGTCCGAGTTTTCAGAAACATCGGAAAATTTTACTAAACACGCTTGTTGTAATTTAAACTATTAAGTACCACGGATCGGCTGCGAATCGCATGGCATTTCACTTGTTCGTTTTACGTGTTCTCGCAGACGAGCGAATGAATATAATACTGTTTCCACGAGATATAATGCGGTTATTTTGGTCGCGAAAATGAAATGTTAACTTCGACCGGTGACGGACTAGACACCGCTATAATTATCTGTATACTCGTAGTATATACCAAACACGTCTGAAAACCATTGACTGCACTAAAGAGAAAACGGTATTATACACGTTTGTTTTATAAATACCAAGTATCGCGTTACGCGGATTGCGATTTAAACTATTTTGCTGGAAATGTGATAATCGGATTTCCTACATCTAAGCCCGTAATTTGTCATAATATTGTTCCGATGGACTTAAGAAAAATAATAATAATGACGCCGCCGACGGTGTGCGAGTATCGCCGACGGAATAATATTGTAGTTAACTTTCACATAGGCATTCCGCTAAATGGTATAATGTTTGTGATAAATTGCATCATACAGCGTCGGCGGCATTACAACGGACCGCGGTAGAATTCATTCAACAGTCGTGTTTTTTCTAAAGCACGGCGCGTGAAAACAGCGTTTGTTTTTCCAAAACAGTATTTTGTAAAACCATCTGCGGTAGGGGGTAAAAACATTGATAATAAAACGTGCATTGTTTAAGTGCAATCGGATCAATGCGAATAATAATGGAACGAAGAGTTGGACGTGCGGTACGTCGGATTGAAATATGTACCGTGTTTTTGGTCATCGGCCCCGCGTAACATAATATCGTGTCGCCGCCGTCGGCGCGGAAACGTCCAAAAATAGTCGTTAACGATTCGTCGTTCGGTGTAGAATATTCGAGACGACGGCGAAAAAGAGCGCGCACGGAGAGACGGACTTGCAAAAGTAACGGGAAACCGTTGGACCACGATCGTACCTGACGGTCACGTGGCGCTGGAAATTTGCCGCGCGAAGAGACGGTGGCCGCGATTTTGCCCCCCGATCTTGGACGATCGACACGGGCACTTAATAAACGTAGTATCGCGAAACGCGTTGGCGTTTTCAGAAATGCGATTCGTTGGAGTGGTTGCCGTGTCCGTGCGGATCATAACGACGCGAAACGTGTGGACAGTTCGCATCGGGGCCGACCGGGTGCGTACGTGATCGCATTGTTATGGATGTGATGGACGAACACGATATCGCATTGATCCGTGTGTAAATCGGTTGCCGGAAAACCTACTGACTCATATAATGCCGTCGTGCAGACGGAGATGGAAAAGAGGAGCGGCGGACACGGGCCGAGCGAGGGCGAGTTACAGACGTGGCGGCGAGTGGCCATCGCCTCGTACAGCCCGTCCGAAAATAGACGGTTTGGCCGCGTTCCACGCGGCAACACGTACGCGTTCCGCGCAGGCCGTAGCGGTAGAATACGAGAGGGAAAAAAAATAAAAATAAAATAGATATAATAACGATTACGCGACGGCGATACGTACTATCACATATTTGTCGATAAGCGTTGACGTCCGATAACGGTACGGATGATGTGTTACCATGGTCGCCCGGGAGACCGGTTAAAACGGATAGAATGCTTAATGGGGTACTCACTGCAGTTCCTGCACAGCACCTTGCGCACGGCTTCCACGTTCTTGGGGGTCCGGAGCACGGGCTCGCCCAGCACGGACAGGTTGTGCGGCCCCACGCCGGCCACGAACACTAGGTACTTGGCGCCGCGTTTGATGTTCGCCTCGACGGTCTGGCCACCGGCGGCCGGCGCGAACCGCTGCACGCACTGCGCGTCCGTCCTGCGCGGTGGCCTGCGCTGCGGGTCGCGATCGCTGCGTTTCTCGCGAAAGTACAACCGCACCGGGCTGCCGGCCCGCAGTCCCTCGTACGTGACCGCTTGCATGGCGTCCTTGTGCACGTGCTGCACGACGAACGTGACGCCGTACGTGCCGCTGCCCGGCCGCACGGGCCCTTTCGACCGCACCTTGCCCTCGAACACCACGTCGGAAGCGTACGCCCGGGCTGACACGTCGTTGGTTTCGTCGCCCAGATGCGCGCACGGCGCCATCCGACTCGCAGCCGCGGCCGCCGCGGCCAGGCCACCGCCGGCCGTCGACAGGCTGCTGGTCGTGAACGCTTGGGCGCCGCCGCCTACGACCGCGGCCAGCACGAACGCCGTCGTCCACACGGCCAGCACCGCCGTAGCAGTTGCCGGCGACGACGACACGGTCCGGTACGCGCAAACTGCACCAGCTGCACCGTCACCACCATTCGACATGTCGTGCGCGTCACCACCGGCCGACTTGGTACGGATTACGATCGTTGTACGGGTCCGTCATCGCTTCGGCACAATAGTCGTGTGTAGATGTTTCGAAGTGTAATGTTCGCTAAGCAATCCCCTCGCCGATTATATAATCGTAGACGTGTATTGATGGTGTTGTATCGGTCGCGGCTCCGTAAAGACACTTTTGACGAGAAAAAATAAAAATTTTACAGGAAAAACACACTAACATACACGCACGCACTCGCGCACAAGCACACTCGCACACATACACACACACACACACAGACACACATACACACTCGTCCACAGAAAATAACAACGCGTTTATAGTTTTTTTTTTTTTTTTTTGTTCAATTAGGTAGTGTCCATCGTGGTCGTACGTCTCAAACGTTGTCGATCGATCTGTCTCGGGGCAAGTCGAGATGTACCGTACGAATCGACCCGATGCGCGGTAAATGAATAACGGCGGTAAAATTATATTTTAAAAACGAAAATAATTGTATTATGCGAGTCTACGTTGACGGACAGATGGAGAAATAGAGATAGAGATAATGAGACAAAAGGAGAAAGGGACGAATAAAAAAACGAAAAATGTAATTAAAAAAAAAAAAAAAAAAATGAAAGAAGAAGATCCGGATTCACACTTCACTCGTACACGTAATAATGATATTATGACTCGCGACGGGGCACATCGCATGTACGCGCGCACGTGGGGTAAGTCGACCGAGCACCGGTGCACTCTTACGCCCCGATTACGAATAGCACACTGCGAGAGGTCGCGCGCCGCCGTCGCCACCGTCGTCGTCGTCGTCGCTGCCGCCGTCGCTCATTGGTCAGTGCCATCTGACGGACGACCGCCGTCCCGGCTCGTGTTATTAATTTATTTTCATTATTATTATTATTATTATATGGACGTAATAATAATAATATTTTTAGAACAAGCACTCCGCGTATTATTGATAATATATTATTATTTATAACGATTAAATTATCGTATTATCGATTTAAACGGTGCGACGTGTGTAGGCGCAGACGGATCGATTAACTACCGGCGATCTTCATCGTTATACGACGCGCGTCTTACAACAGCATACACCATACAGTTAGTGTCCGTGTATTATATAGCATCGGCAGTTGTAATGAGGTAATTATTAGCAATCGTAAGCCAATTATTGACATTGTTCATATTACATTCGTATTATAGATCAACGGTGATTTCCCGTACGATTCGATTTTTTTTTTTTTTTACAATATTCTGTTCTACGATGACACGCAATTGTTCGTCATTTCGAGTACATCCAACGTGTCGGTTAAACAAGAACGAAAATTCAATTTTCAACGTATAATATTTCAGTAATTACGTATAACCCAGTCGTTAAAAATAAAACAAACGGGTAATATATGTAAGTTAAATTTAAGTAATCGCGCAAATCGAATGGAACCACGAACGTATTATTATGGTATTGCACTGGATAGAAAACGACAAGTGAATTCACATTCACATTTGAAGAGCGACCCGTGAACGACGAATAGAGTGAATCAAACGTTCTTTGTACGATGTCTTGTCAATCGTGAATTTGCGAATCGATGTTTTCATAACGCATTTGATTGTCACCTAACCCAACCAAAGATGATTGGCAACGAAATAGGTGTACGTCATTAATCGCGTTGTAAATGTATTTTTTCGACGTCGAACGTTTGTTAAGTTTGATAAAAGCACTGAACGTTGCGTCAAGACATTGTTGCCTACAAATAAATCCGCGCAAAATTGATTTTTTTTCATTGCTATTATCGTTCGCTCGATGTACGCGCGTGGGTACATCGCATTTGTCGGTTTTGACGTTCGACGCATGAACAACATCAACGTTACCGGTAACCCGGTACAGCAAGTGGTGACGGACACGCGATCTGGGATCCCGTTGACTTATCCTGTCGGTGTCGGAACGACGTGTTTAGATCGCCTTTACGACTTACAAAAACTTACGACGTGCACTCGGACCGCACGGAAAAAAAAACTTATTACGACGCGTTCGTCACGGCCGGTCGTAACGGATCGAGCAAATCGACGACGCGATCATAACACTAGTCCGTTAGGTCTTGGGACGAGTCGGCCAAACGGCCAGTGTTCCCGATTATAATAATATTCGCGTTCACCGCAACGAACACGGGAAATTATTACGGAGCTGGTTCGGAAAAAAATTACCGAACGCAAACGTTTGTGCGCTTTTCGTGTACTTCAAACGCGTCCCGGATTGAAACATAACGTTTCCCGATCGTGCTCTGTTCCATTTTAGGATAGACGGTGTTTGAAAGTGACGATGCGTTTGCAGGTTTCCGAGGTGTCAACGAATCGAAGTTATTTCGAAAAAGAAAATAAAAGCCTGTTTCTCGTGAACTACGGAGCGACGAATTGCGTCGCAACGGCGTTTCCGAAAACATCGTACCGCGGGAGCGCATGTAAACGCGTATACCGTCAACATCGCCTTACGTTACGTTTAGCGTAAATTCATTGTTCAGTTAATGCCCGTGTACCGTGTGCAACGATCGCGGTGATTTTAGCACGTGTGAGACAACAATGTTACAATATTATATTTTAAATGTATAGTTTTATTTATAATTTCGTTTTTGAATATTAATCAGCTGCCGCGTAACGTTGCGCTATGCAGATCGAAGAATTTATTCCTATGAAACATCATATCGTTTCAACTTGTTGGTTGTACGATTGTAACGGTTACAGACTACACAATTTTTCGCATGACAAAAGTAATTTATTGACTATAATAATTAATAGAAAGGAATAATAGTTTACGATCTAAGTAATCGATAAAAAAATACTACAATACTATATTACGATTTATCATTATACATGCGAAATATATAGTATAATAAACATATAATTGTTAAATTACAAAAATGGTCATTATCTACTTTTCAAATCATGCATGGATTTTTTTTTTATGTTATAATGAAAATTCATAGAAATATATTATTTACATTCACAATATTCATTCTTTTTGCCACTAAATATTGTGAAAATGTAAAATTATAATGAAATAAACTGTGCATTATTTCTACTTTTAGTTTTTGTTAATATGCCATATTAGCTATTGAAGGTAAAAGGGATCGAGGACGTCCGAGAATTAAATTTGTTAAACAAATAATATCCGAAGCTGCACCGAATTGAATAGGCTAGCTGAGAACAGAGAGGAGCGGAGAGCGCATACCCATACCCAACTGTAAAACCTGCCTTAAGGGGTAAAAGAAAAATAAATTAACTATTGTACTTATGTAACAAGCTCATTAATCTAAATAATTTCCAAATATTTTTTAGAATAGACATTCAAGTAGTTCCATTCAATTTTAGATCATAAGTCATTTGATAATAGCGAATTCGTTTATAATTGACTTGTCCCAATACAAACACTTTTCAAGTGGAACACTGTTGTAGAGTGTGCAATTTATTAGATTAAACAATTCCAACGCAACTGTTCACAATAAAATTTATGTTTAGCATGATTTATTGATGTTTAATACTAACATTATTCTCTCGAAGTGCAAAACAAATAATGAATACTATATACGCCGATTGAATGTTGTTATTTTTAATTTATTAATTTCCATGAAAATTGAAAATGGTGCACAAAACAAAGCAGTAGATTTTCCGGTTATGTTTCGTATACATTGATTGCAAATATACACAAAAGTAATAAAAATAACAAAAATTCATACACGTAGTGCGTTTATTAGTATTGCTATTAATATTGAATAAATTACGAGTATTAACATTATGTGTCTATTAAAATTGTATGTTTCTCAACGAGTGTTGTACTTGGAGACCTGCACAGGAAACATTATTTAAGTGCGTCCCTATTTCATCAGATTTGAAAACAAATACTAAAGTCTTAGGAAATATAATGTATGGTTAACATATGATTCAAATCCGGATATTTTTGACCTAGAAAATAAAGAATATACCATTTAAATCACATGCATGCGTGTGTATGCAAAATTATTTTTAACAATTAATATATATGTACGATAACGCTGGGTGTTGATTACTCAATTCACTTTTCATTTCAAAACAGTGAGTAATGATTGCTTAACATGACAACTGTCGCATTTGAAGTAAAGCTCGGTTTACTTAAAAATGGTTTAAAAAAAAATGTAAGCAAATTTATTTTTTACTTAGATATACCTATCCGTTTTGCAACGAATTAAAATGGTTTATCATATATTTTGATTATTGCCTTCAAGTTTTTTTCAATTAGCCGAAAACTATACAAAACCGCAGACTAATAATAAAACTAACATATTTCACGACTAAACATGACTTTAAATCTTCAAAAAAATATTCCGTAGACAAACGGCGATGGAAAAACGTGGCCACGAACCTTTATAATATTATATACCGATCATTTTCTCTATTTATTCATATTACGTAAATAATCGTGGAGCGAAATCGGTTTTGAATTTAAATCGTGATTGTAAATCAGTGTTAAGTTGTACATCACGTTTAATCGCTTAACTACTCGAGAAAATGTATTAAGTATAACGCCATCAATTAGGTCAATTACGTGTTTTATATAATATATAAAAACTTATAATATATAAAAAACGAATGACATAGTATGTCAATCGGGTTTTTTATTTTTTTTTTCAAAACAAAAGCTATAACTCGAAGTATCTGTGCACCGTGTTGGTCGTTAGAAATCATGGGCGTATTTTAGGGGGCTAAGAGGCGATTCCCCCCCCTGAATCCGTATTTAAGGAATTTATTTTATGTGAGATACACATTTCAAATTTTTTTAATGTGGATCATTTTACAACGAAATCAAACTATGCGTGGCTGTGAATTACTGAATTGGGCTTTTTGTTGGGTCCATACTTAGTGAACAATAAAATAAAATACAAGCTCAACTTTCAAAACACAGACAGGTGTTAAGAAAGAACTACACAAAATCGATTCTATGTAGATCCGGCTTTAGATTAAAAAAAAAAAAAAAAACAAAAACATTAAGGATTCACCTGATTTAAATGTT